AGCTTCTAGAAGTCTGACTTGTTTCTGTGGGTTGCTCCTCCTGGCCTCCTCTGGTCATTCAGTGACTCTCAATAAGCTTTAGTCTGCTCTCCATTTTACTGATATCTCTGCTTTCTTCTTCAGCACCTCCAACTTCGGCAGCATTTCCTCCAGATCTAATCACGTCTACTTATTCACAGACATACCCCTGCCCATACACGCATGGGCAGAATACTGATCTGCCCTTACAAGCACGTACTAGGCCAGGTGCCCTGGAGATGATAGAGAGCAAGCCAGCCAGGGTCCCTGCTCCAAGAGAATCTCACTTCCCAGGTTCTGGTAGTGCAATGTCTACGGTGATCGAGGTCCCAGGGCAGGAACTTCCAAACTGCATTTCCCCAATATTAATATTGTATAAGACATTAATTGACAATCTCCACCAAAGGGTTCTGGGGTCAAACTGATTCGGGAAACAGAATTATGTGTGCTTACATATATTATGAATCTTCAGAAAGAGGCAATATATAATAGATTTTTAGAAATATCCTTGATTATCTGCAAACCATCTTTTCAAGGAACCCTTGTTTGAGAGAGTATCATTCCTCTGATGCCATTTGGGAAATGCTGGCTCAGGGGTAGCTTCAGCAGACAGTCCTGCCAAATGCCAAGGGCCAGACTGAAGTCATCTAAACATACATCCTGGTTAGGTGGAAAATGAATATTTCTTTCTGATTTCCCTTAGCTCTGCCTTTTGGATGATAAATAAGTCGAGTCTGCACCCAATGCTTGGTTATTTACTTTCCCATTGATGTGTGTTCTGTGTAATTTACCATCTAGAGACATAATGACTTCCGAGTCTATATTTCTAGCCCAGACCTCCCCCTGAACTCCAGATCCCACACATCCCACTGTCTGCTGGACAACCACGTATTGGAGATTTTTAACAGAATGTCCAGCAAGCACATCCAGTGCAATTTGTTCCATGTCGGAGAGGTCACTACCCTCGTAAAACTCATTTCTCCATCTGCATTTCCTAATGGCCCCATTACTATCATCCAACCAGAAACCTGGCAGATGTTCCAGACTACACCTTCTTAGCCAAGTCGTCAGTAAGTCTTCTTCATTTGACCTCCCAAGAAGTTCTTCTCCATTCTCAACTGCCATTATCTAATTTTGGGTCCTCATTACAGTGGTTTTCTTTTCTTTTTTTGAGTTAGAGTCTCGCTCTGTCACCCAGGCTGGAGTGCCGTGGTGCAATATCGGCCCACTGCAACCTCCACCTCCTGGGTTCAAGTGATTCTCCTGCCTCAGCCTCCCGAGTAGCTGGGGCTACAGGCGCCGGCCACCATGCCCAGCTAATTTTTGTATTTTTAGTAGGCACAGGGTTTTACCACATTGGCCAAGTTGGTCCTGAACTCCTGACCTCAACTAATCTGCTTGCCTCGGCCTCCCAAAGTGCTGAGGTGACAGGCGTGAGCAACTGCTTCTGGCCCTACAGTGGTTTCTGACTTCTATCTCAGGTCCGGTTCTCTGCAAAACAGACCCTGGGTTTCTGAGATGTGCGTGCAGAAAGGCTTTTGGAGCATGTTATGGAGAATAACCCCCCTGGGGTAGTGAAGGAAGTAAGACTGGACGGAAGGAGGAGTTGAACATCAATGTAGATGCAAGAATAGCCTCAATTGGACGACCCTTTGGAGCTGTCCCACTTGATGCAAGGGGTTGGGTTGAGAGGCCTTAAACCAATACATTTCCACTCTCCTAGACCACTACCTTCCATATTCCCATCTCCTACACCCCCAGCCACCCTCACTAGATATGAGCAAACTCCCACCCCTCTGAGGGTGGCATAACCTTTGGCCAAGGGCAATTCCAACAATGGACTTCTTCTGAGAGCCACCTGTCACCAACCCTTCCATCAGCTGGAGGAACGAGTGCCTCCGTCCTGAAGAGGGATCTGTGTGGTAGAACACAGCACCCACCGCGGCATCCTTGTCCCTGATCTTGCTGCTTTCCAGCTCTCCCTCCACACCACCACCAGAGGAGTTTTTCTAAGCCCAGATGTAATCACACTACACCCTTATACATCCCCATTCCTCCTCCTCACCTGCAAGATGATTCATGTCTGATCTCTGTCTACACATGAAGCCATCTCCCACAGCTTTCCTTCTTGCGTGCCCTCTTCCTTCACAAATACTCATCTACTAATGCTTATCAGTCCTTCACAATACTGCTCCCTCTGCAGGAAATGAGCTTTCCCACTCCTCTCACTAGCAAGCCTCCATTTATCCTTTAGGGCCCATCTGAAGCACCTTCTCTATGATGCCTTCCTGAATATCTTCAAGCAGTAGACTCTGTAGACTTTTTTTATACTCTTGTAGTTATTTGCTTATGTGCAGTTATTTTCTTAAATCTGGCCTCCTTAAGGGCAAAACCTGTGTTATATTTATTTGTGAGTCAATGAATCAGTCAGCCATCTACATCAGTATTGTATGAGGCTGTGTTTACACGGGCTTACTCAAACTAACTGGAGTTGACTTCAGTCATTTTTTTCTGGGACTTAATCTAGGTACCCAGTGAGGGCTGTAGGCCCCTGGGGGAAGGAACTCGATTTGCAGACTGTCACTTGGCTCAGGATATATATAAAACTCAAGGCTCTGAGGGAATTGGGCATTTAATAATACTGCCCACTAGGTTGATACTGCCTCTCATGGTGGGCAAGAGGCATAGCAAGTGACCTACAGGACATGTTATAAAAGGAATCATAAGGCCTGCCTTGCCTGCAAATCTCTTTCATGACTGAGCCCTCCCATCATGCCTGTTCTGAAATTCTCACTCTTACATTTACTGATGGTTGGACCAGTGGCCTCATAAGTGACGTCAATACACTCTAGAGCCTGGGCAAGCAGATGCATCTCTAGAAGAGAATTCCATGTCTATTTATTTTTATTTTATCCCTTTACAAATTTTAGTATTGTGGGCTAGGGGCAGTGGCTCACACCTCTAATGGGAGGACGAGGTGGGCAGATTGCTTGAGACCAGGAGTTCAAGACCAGCCTGGGCCAACATTGTGAAACCCCATCTCTATAAAAAATACAAAAAATTAGCTGGGTATGGCGGCATATACCTGTGGTCCCAGCTACTCCAGAGGCTGAGGTGAGAGGATCACTTAAGCCCAGGGAGGCAGAGGTTGCAGTGCACCAAGATTGCACCATTGCACTCCAACCTGGGCAACAGAGTGAGATCCTATCTAAAAAATACTATTTTCTGTATTGTGTATGTTTCATAATGTGCATAATATAGTAGTATACTAACTCGTGTAATGTGTATGATTTATAAATAATATAAGTGAGTATACACTCAGAACTTTCTTTACTAAGAAGTGCATTGTTTTGCAAAATTGGAGCCCTCTGGATTGAACTCTAAAGTCTTGAGTCATCTCCTGCTTTCACCTACGAGCTCTGCAGCTGATCTGTTGCAGAGCTAATTTGTACCAACAGGCACCTAAAGTTTTTGAAGAACTCTAAAGTCCAGGATCTATCCAGCTAGGAATGAGAGGGAGGGGCGGGCTGAGGAGAGCGCAGAGGCTGAATCTAACCAGAGTTGGTGAGCCATCGGGTAAGGAATTGAGAACCTGGAATACACAGAGGTATTTGGGTCAACAGGAGGCAGCAACAGGCAGAACAGCAATGGGAGGTATGTGGTATGGAAGAGTGGCAATCCCTCCCTCCACCATGAAGCATGCCCCATCCATCTTCCACTATGGTCAGGGCGAGAGGTGCAGCCAGCCAGATATAAAGGTGGCAGTGGCTGCTCTGGAACACCTACATAGGGAGCTAAGAGGCAGCAATATGACTGCAGTGAGCACATTGGAGCCTTGTCTTAAGGCTGTATTTGCATATGAGAGCACTGTTTTTACTTGGGTTGTGTGGTTATTTGTGGATGGTTGTGGGGATTGATTGATGGTGGAGATTGGGTGGAGGTGTGGTGTGCATTGTTAGCAATGCAGCCTTGAGAATCCTTTAGCAGGTGCAAGCTAGTGAGCCACATTAGGGTGGAAACAGTATTATGGCATCAGGAGAGACCTTGATCTGGTGCCAAACCCTGGTGCCTAAGAGCTGCATTGGGATGATATGTTAGAATAGCTCCAGCAGCCAAGAAGCAGCTTCATAATACAGGACCAGACATGCAAGGGCAGGGAATGGGCCCCTCAGTGGGAGACCAGGTGAGGGATCAAGGGGACTCCAAGAGCATGACTTGCAAAAAGAACAAAAAGGAGGCACAGAGGGACCGCAGAGATGAACATGGCTAACTCGGCAGGGTTAGTCTCAATGGCGAGGAACAGTGGTTCACACCTCCTCAGTTCCTGGCTCCACTAGAGAATCAGTAGAAGACAGTTAGATGGCCACGAAAGAAAACTGTATACTGAACTTTCTTATATACAGATTTTCCTGGAAAACAAAAAAGATCAGAAGGGAAGCAAATGCAATTCCTTTCTATTATGTTTTTAGGCTCTGCTTAGGCTCTTAATATTCTACTAGCAGCAGACTATAAACCCTTCGAGGGCTACAGTCGCTACTTGCCGACAAGGTGTTGCATTTGTAAAGTTAGCATAAACTTTTACATACATTATTTAATACCACAACCCAGCAAGGTAGGTATTCTTCTATGCATTTTGCAGATGAAGAAATAAAAGTTCAAAGTGATAAGTTCATTTAGCCAGAAACTTACCTTCTACAGTTAAGGAATCTGAGGCCCAGATGGAGTTAACTAACTTACCCAGGACAAAGAGCAGATACTCATCAAAGCCACAACCCACACCCAGGTCTCACAGAACTGCACCTGCATCCCAGTTCTCCATCTTTTATTACACTTTCCTCCCAGTCCCCATGGTGTTTAAAGCAGAGGTCAGCAAACAGAAAGCAGGCCATGTTAGCAGGCTAACAAATTTTATGAGCTCTGTCTTTCTATTCTTGATTCTCCCTTAGATAATTTGCTCTAACATCTTCTGTGTTTCTTCACAGCATGCAAAAGGAAAGAACAAGAACATGGGAAGGATAGAGGCAACACACCCAAAAAGCCCAGGTTGGTCTTCACAGATGTCCAGCGTCGAACTCTACATGCAATATTCAAGGAAAATAAGCGTCCATCCAAAGAATTGCAAATCACCATTTCCCAGCAGCTGGGGTTGGAGCTGAGCACTGTCAGCAACTTCTTCATGAACGCAAGGAGGAGGAGTCTGGACAAGTGGCAGGATGAGGGCAGCTCCAATTCAGGCAACTCATCTTCTTCATCAAGCACTTGTACCAAAGCATGAAGGAACAACCACAAACTAAAACCTCGGTGGAAAAGCTTTAAATTAAAAAAAAAAAATTTTAAAAGACCAGGACCTCAAGATAGCAGGTTTATACTTAGAAATATTTGAAGAAAAAAAAAGTGTTATTTATAGTCCAAAGAAACCAAAGACTTAGCTCACCTGCATTCTGACTTTGTTTGGAGACACACACTTCAGCGGGGCGACGACTTGGCAAGACAAATGATGAGCAGGAAAACACCACTGGATCTCACACCCTCAATCCATGACCATTCTCACTGTGCTTGGCTGTTTAGTGGTTTGGAGCATAGTGATTTTGAGCCATTAAGTGGACATCTTTTAAGATTGAACTTTCTCATCTGTTCTACCATGCCACAAAGGTGTATGGTGTCTCAGTACTGTGTGTGTGTGTGTGCGTGCACATATGCGCACACACACACACACACACAACCACCACCACCAGTGGTTAGAGACTTAGGCAGAGCTGGTCTTCAGAAATGGTTGTGCTTTAGGAGTGCAACCAACATGGTGTGGGGTTGTCTGAGTTCATTGGATTAGGAGTGTGATTTTGCTCATCTAGCCTAGCGTTTGAACCTGCCAGGCCCGCAACCTAAATGCAGATTCAAACCCAGCAAAGAAAATTTGAATGACACCTAAACCAGTGCATTCTCTTTGTTTGTTAAGGAATGTTCAGATATTTTTTAAGAGATGAAACAAGAGTCCATCCATTAAAAAAAAAAAAATCACCTAGGTACCAAAGAACACACTTAATATTATAGTGCAGGTATTTTATTGCAATGATTTTAATAACCAAAGCTATTTTTACAGAAGATACTATGTAAAGTTATACGTATGAACTGATCTAGCTATAATACACATGCCACATAGAACCATGACTATTATTTATGACTCTTGAAGCATTTGAAATATGAGTTTTCAGAACTGGCAAGAAAGAATGTAGCTTCAGGGAAGCAATTAATATCATGGCAGAGAGGTCGATGCAGTACACGTGTACATCCAGATGGCACACTCCTTTTCAGGATCCATAAATGTCACTTAAGTAGAGAGATAGACATGATTCCATAATCTGTTTCTAGCTGAGAAAACCTGGGGATCTTTCCAAAGTAGGACCCCATTTTTACACTAGAAAACTGTTTAACAGGGCGGGTAACTAAATTAGAAAATTTGTTCAAAGTAATGCTTTTTAGTAAAAGGTCACTAAATAAAGAACTATCCTTAGATTAATTGACTTATATTTGCTTTACGCATTTGGCACCAAATACCTCTTTTAAATACTTTGCAAATATAATTAAAGTGAAAACAACATTATTATTAAAATGAACTATTCAGTACTTGTAACTATCCTAAAACGTAATCAAACTAACTTATTGCCAATCCCAGAAATTTTATGACTTGGAAATCAATAAAACAGCAGGCGCAACTGAGAAATGATGGAATTAGTGGAACTGCATAGAAAAAGCCAGTGTTCTGGTGGATGACAAGACATTTGATCTATTGGTATTAATTAATTTATTTGACTAAGAATAGCCTCCAAAGCATTCTGCATTCTTTCTTGCTACTACATTAAGCTGGAAATTTTATAATATAGATTTCACTCTCTAACAGGGACAGATTAAAAAACTAGACCTGAGCTTACAAATACAAAATTTTAAGTTTATATTTTTCCAAATCACTTAACCAGAGCTGTAGAAATAAAGCCAAAAAAAAGGGGGGGACAGTGAAGTGGTACCCCAGTGAATCACTTGATTCGCAGAAAAATTCTCTCTGAATTCATTTGGACTGAAACTTATCTAAGTGGATACCTATTACGCCATTAGGTAAAGAATTGGATGCTCTTAGTTAATTACCACCCCTACCTAGAACTATAAAATTAAAATGTTATCCTAATGGTAAGTTGTTTTTTTGAGATTCAATAAAATGCCAAAGAATAAAACTGAACCATCTTGACACAAAACCTAACTCCTTAGCATCAAATCTCAGCACCTTGTCTACGTCTGCAACAAGCAGCCAACTAGACAGGTGAAGCAAAACCAACAAGCCATCTATCTGTGTCTCCTTCATGTCTGCTGTAGAATGAGAAGAGGAAACAAACATATACTTCTCTTTTGATGAAATACTGCATTTGCCTTGACATATTTTGTCTTTTTTTTTATTTCACCCACAATTCCAGCTTAAAATTTTCCTTCTAAATATGGCACAATTCTAGTTCAGCTATTGAAAGAGACCATTTAAATGGCCACCCTTCAGGATTTACTAAAAAATAGAATCTTGTCAATGACGTAAACAAAAAGGAAAAAACTGATTAACATTTTCTCTCTCTCCAGGAATGGAGGGAGCCAGGGATACAGCTACATAATGTATTTATAATTTAGGAGGGAGGGAAGCCTTATTTATTTAAAACGTGATAATTCTGAATGCAGGGAAATTCTAGCTGTGTCTACACACAATCTTAACAAATTCAACATCCCAAGAAAAGCAGAATTCAGACATTTATTTTTTATTTTTTGTTACTATGTACTACCCCCAAAATTAATCCAACTGCACGTTGCTTTTTTTTTTTTTTTTGAGACAGAATCTCACTCTCTCACCCAGGCTGGAGTGCAGTGACATGATCTCTGCTCACTGCAACCTCTGCCTCCCTGGTTCAAGTGATTCTCCTGCCTCAGCCTCCCAAGTAGTTGGGATTACAGGTGCCACCATGCCCAGCTAATTTTTAAATTTTTAGTAGAGATAGGGTTTTACCATGTTGGCCAGGCTAGTCTTGAACTCCTGACCTCAGGTAATCCACCTGCCTCAGCCTCCCAAAGTGCTGGGATTATAGGCATGAGCCACTGCGCCTGGCCCATGTTACATTTTTGACCAATTATTTTGGTACTGTGTAGGCATAGTCTCATAGAATCTTGTTTCATTTTCAGTATCTGACCATAATGGTTTTTTAAAAATGTAACCAGTTATCCTATTTGCTAACACCAAAGATAATTTTCATACCAGCATTGAATTTGCACCCATTATGCAATTTCAGGGCTTAGAGATGTATTTTCTCATAAACAGATGCACAAATGAGAGCCTGAAAAGCAATTTTTTTACTTGACTGTTTTAAGCATATTCACATCCTTTGCTTTTTAGAAATCATAATAGACAAACTCAGCTTCTCACAAGCAATACACTTATTACATCATGTATAACTGATTCTTTACTTGCTTCTGAACTAGCATGTAGAAAAACACAATGCTTCCGTTCCTATTTAGTGTAACGTTAATTTCTGGCTTGAGTTTTCTAACCTACATTCCACAGAGCAGATCATGTGCCATTTGTTCACCCATCATGTCTCAATTCTTTTGCAAAATTAACCAGAAAAAAAGGTATCTATCTTACGCTTTATTTCTATGTGTGTTTATTCCAAAACTGCACTTAAAGTAATCCTTTTTTTTTTTTTTTTGGTAGTATGGAAGTTAGTCTGTTTTTGGCCATAAGTCATTCAAGTCCTCTCATGACAGGAAGCTTTCCTGTAGAGGACAGGGAGGTGTGAAGTCTGGACACCCTGAGACCCCAGACTTCAGTAAATGTTCAGGTAAAGAGCTCTGGATGTCAGGAATTGAGTATTCCAGTCCCTGTATGCAGCTGGAATAGACTCCAAAGACCAAAGAAAACATGGGAAATCCAGAAGTTCTAAATGAACATGTCACTCACTATGCCCCCCCAAAAAAGCGAAATTATTTTTCCAGGAAAATATAAAAGCACTATGCTACTTTTGGATTCATTCCACTCCCATTGCTGCCCCAGGTGAATGACGGTTGTTGCAGGTTAAATGCAAACTTCGCTATACCAAAGAGTCCTAGGACATTTTCACATGAGCTATAAAGGCATTTTCCCTAAGAAAGGTCCTCCCTCCTTTGTACATAAAGGATGAAAACTATGCATTTAGCAAACAAAGAGAAAGCACTTCTCCTTTTTCTATCTAGTTGTTTAGGGTGCATTCAAACACCAGAGGCTATTTTGAGACATGTTTGGCCTTCTGGGTTATTACTGTGGTGTGGTTAGCTTTACAGTACATTTGGTAACTATTTCCTAAATAGTAAGAACAAAGAAGCAGAAGGTAAGAAATAGCTACTTCCATGTGTAAAAAAAAAAAAAAGAAAAAAAGAAAAAAAAAAGAAAGAAAAAAAGAAAAAAAAGTGTAAAGATCTACTATTTATAGTGTGAACCAAAGACGCTACCTCACTCAATTTCCATTGGTGATTTTAATCACATTGATGATACCAAAGAATACCAAAGATATTTACATGCACGGTCTTGTCTGCAGAGGGAACTCCGCCCCTTCCCTTCCCCTTCCTGGCCTCCTTCCTCACTCTTCACTCAGTGTGTAAACTTGTCTTCATTCTTAATAATGATACAATAATGACAACAACAACATTAGGAAATACTACTCTTATTACTGCTAGTTCTACTTGTAAATCTCTAGGCAAACATGTTGCAAACTTTGTAAACTCCTAGGACGAGTGCCTTGCTTGAACCAAAGTGTTAAACCGCTGTTGACCTCTTTCACCTTATACTCTTTGAATACCTCAGCCTCTTAGAAAGGCCACTAAAAAAAAAAGGAATAATTATTCACCGTGGTGCTTTTTCCGTGCAACCATGCAATGAAACTTTGTTTGATACCAAAGGATGACTTTTTTTTCCCAATTTCTTGCTGATAAACCAAAGCTCCTCCTCCTTGTTCCCCCTCAAGTTCCCCCCACCTGACTTTACCCACCCCTCTACCAGGCAGGCCGTGCATAACTTTTACCAATTCCTCCAAATACCTCATAGTAATAAAGTTTTAGGGTTATGTTGTATAGAGAGTCTATGTGATAAGGCAGAACTTACTAGTTTGATAATTGTTAAGGTTACTTTAAAAAAAAACTTTATAATTCTTATTTATTTTGTAGTTTGTATGTTTGGGATGTTCCCCCTCCCCTTTGGTTTGGGGTTTATTTTCTTGGCAGAACTGCTCTATTGCTCAAGGAAGACTTAATTTCTGGAAATGTTCCCCCAGTGAGTTAAGGGTTGTGTACAAATGCAAGAATGGAATAAGAACTGATTTTCATTTTGATGGTTACTTATGAAGTTTTTGTGTTCTGTAGCAAATTTGTTTCCACAGGGTAAAAAAAAAATTATATATATATATATATATATATATATATATATATATATATAATCTCTTTTTTGTGAAGCTGGTTCCTATTTTTCTCTATAATGTGCTGTGATTTTTTTTAATTTAATTACATTCTATATGAGCTTATTTAATCACTGCTTTAATTTATGACTGTGTAGTTTTTAAAATGTATATAGTAGAATTGAAATGGCCAAAGTTTTATGTTACAATCTTTTTGTTCTCGATGCTAAGATAAGCTGAAGGCAAGAGCTTCTCTTAACTGCAGGGTGTATCTTTAGCTTTTTCTTAGTAGGTACTTCAATGTGTGCTGTAAACACTGCCAGGTCCCCCCTCAGAAATTTGTACATGCCAAAGTGAGTGTTTCAAGATAGTCCTTTTTGTCATTTAGAAAGAAGAAAGGCATTATTCGTGTTCTTCCTTTAATTTATTAATTTTTTTAGAAAAGATTACTTTGCAGGTGAGACCTGAAATCCCAAAGAAGTTAAGACTTTTTTAATATTTCAAAGCACCGGCATTTGTGAGATACTTTGCTACTTTTTTTTTTTTAAGCCATTCGTACGGGTATGAGAAGTAGAGTGTAAAAACTCAATGAGACAAACTAACTTGAATCTGGAAATCCTCTGGGTTTTCCAAAGTTTCTGAATTGCTTCAAGGGAGGGGGCAGGGCAGGAGATGCAGTACCTTTTGCAGAGGTGAGAGGAGAGTGTAAAGGCTTCATGCCCTTGAACAGACAGTCAAGGCTGGGGAGCAGCTGGCCCCGCCCTCTGGCCAGCCCACAGTAGACGCAAAACTCAATTGCTTGGCCTCAGTTATCAATAGAACTGAAGAGAAAAATCAAAGTTACACACCCCTCTCCACGTCAGTTTCTTGGAATCTGCTACTCACAACTGCCCCTCCTCTCCCCACACGCCCCTACCAAAGTCACGGGAATCATCCTCAGATCTCAGTCCTGGAGTGGATGTACTCCATGCCTCTTTGAGTTTGTCTCCACTCACTCTTCATCTTCCCACTGGTTTCTTTTCTGCACTAGAGACCCCTGCCCTCAGCTCCCTTCTTGGAGGCAGTTCAGATACTTGGCCCTACTTGAGATGAGCACACACACACACACACAATTCTCAACTGAGAGTGGCATCCCCAGAAGAGTCGGTGCCCACTATTTTGTTTTATTTTGCTGAAATAAGTTGCTCCGACTACACATCATAAACCCATAGATGTAAATACGTTCCCTCTCAACATACAAATTTTACCTTTTTTTTTTCCACAGGGGTGTTTGTGGTGGGGAAGGAAAGAGAGGGCTTAGACTTCAGGTCAAATGTTACATTTTCTTAGGAACATTTTTATACTCATTCTGTATTTTAATAGGGCAATAAATCTGCTTTGGGTTGCAGGCTCACTCAGTGCTCTGTTGAAAGCATTGACGAATTATTTGTTTTTAATACCAATGCTGTGTGGTGAGTTATCAAAACCTAGGACAATGGTTGAAGGAGTCAACTCTTAACATCAGCAGTGAAGCGCTGAGCGGCATTGTATTCACAAGGTCACATCTTCTGTTTCTGTGTTAGTCTCGATTTTTTTGTGTTATGTTCTGCATTTATCACATAATCACTGTGGGCTCATTTTAGATTTGCCGTTGGAACCAAGTGACAAGTATTTTTCGAAAAAATAAAGTTGAAAACCTTGTCTTCCACTCGCTTTGGTAGTTGTCTTCATATCTCCCTGTGCTTATTGTCCTGTCTGAGTCAGCCCATCTGTCACCCACGGAGACCTGTCCCCTCCCCCCTTTCTCTGTTTCCATTACACCCTTGACCTTAGCTATTGTTTGAGTGTGACTCAGTTTCCCTGTGCAAGTTAGCTTGATGGTTTATTATGTAAGGAGGGTGCCTAAGACAATCATCAGGTAAAAATAAATTAAAATTAAAAAAAGATCGGTAGAGTAGAAAATCTTCCAAGAGCAAAGGGAGTTCTTCCTTAGCAATGAAAAAAAAAAGACAAAAAAAAAAAAAGGGTAAATACATAATTAAATAATTAATTAAAAACCTAACCATGAGGGGCTTAGAAGATTTTTTGATAAAAGACAAATGTTGCTGTCATTTTCTTTGTCAATTAGAAAACAGTGGTAGTTTCTACGTTGCATCTACATTTCAGACTAAATGATTATTGTACCCAGTTATGGTTGTTTCCTAATATTTTGTCTCTCTCTCTCTTTCTCTCTGTCCAATGCTTCTTCTGTATTTTTGTGTGTAGCAACAAAAAAGTGTGATGCATTAGGCATTATTCTGGTTTGTTTATGAGTATCTCCTGTACTGCATTAAGATTTCTCTCATTTATTTTAAGCTTCGCTACTGTCCTCACTTTATGCCGTGCAATATCATCT